TGCGCCAGGGTAGCAAGCTCGTCCCGGTACTCGCTAGGGAGATCAGACAGATCCATATCAGGGTTCTTTGCCTGAAGAGCAAAGATGGACCTGATCGTCCAATCCCCAACCCTGTTCTCCATCTCTGCTTCCCGCGGTTGCATTTTCGCAGTTAGCAAGGCAATGCGACCCTGTGCAAAATGGAGTGCAACCTCAAGCTCTGTTCGCTGCTTCTCAATAGCCTCCCACAAATTGGCCCTTTCCAGCTCAGCTTGCAAGGCTCGTTCGGAGGTATTCTACAACGCTTGATCCTTCTCACTAGCCTCCCTAAAGAGTCTGGCCATGGTCCGCCGGAGCTCTTTCATCTCCTCCCCGCGTTTGTCTAGCTCGATCTTCTGAAAGTCCACTATGCGGTGGGCAGCGTCCCTTTCAGACATGTGCTGGTCTGCCTGAGCGATGGAAGAGTCTTTGTCTGCTCGTGCGGCCTCCAGCTCCTGCATAAGTCGCGCATTCTCCTCTCGCAGCTTGACCAATTGCTCGGCAAAACCCAGCTGAGTCTTCTGCTGGGACATATGCAGGGAAAGCAAGGCCTGCACTATGAGTAAAGAGTCAAGTCTACTTCCCTTAAAAAAGCGAACAAAGGTCCTCATCCGGGATAACTCGTTTACCTGGCTAAAGAGTTGGAACGATTTGGACAACAAGTCGACTGAATTGGATGTCAGGAACTGCTCGAACGACTCTGCAAGCCCACATTCCAACAATGTTAGAACCACCAGCTACAAATGGTCCGGGCAGGTGGGCGATTGAGTCTAGCACAGGCATACTGACACCCTTGACAGGAAGAGCCTGTCCCGCAGGCTCTTTGCCAGGCCTCCTACCAGGGACTACAGTTGCTGGTCGCGTCGATTGACCGATGGAAATGTCAGTCGTGCCTCTGAGTGGCCCTCCCGAGCTGCACGCTTGGTAAGGCTGCAACCTCTCGATCTAAATGCCCAAGCCTTCCTCTTCGAACTCTGACTCCTCAGCCAGAATTTGCCGCCTCTTCTTAGACCTCTAAGCCGTAGTTTTCTGCTTCGGGCGAGCAGCCGAAGGTGAGAGAACCTCTGTAGGTCGGGTCGGAGCACCCGCCTGTGTCCCTCTGATAGGGGGATCGTTGGGCGCGACTCCAATTGGCCCGATGGTATGCCTCTGGGGAAAAGAGAATTATTTTGGTCGTGACGACTTGGACACCCGGGGAGGCATGGTCGCTGCATGTGAACACTATTAGTAAAACAGTTTGCTACAAGAATTAGAAAGGACAAGTCAGGAAACTTACTCGGTGGGGTCTCTAAGGCTACGCCCGCATTGAAGAAGCCGTACCTTCGCAAGTTCTCGGTTGTCATAAGTAACCTCGCGTCTCGACTTTTCGCGAGCAGAAAATCGAATGTTGCGATTCTGTCCGGGTCCGTGAGCAGGTTCAAGCTGGTCGTTCTATTAACTATCAGGAAAAACAAACAACTCGTTAGCGAAGAACAAAAATCGAGAATTTAGAAGGAAAAAGAACCTACTTGGATCCTGAAAGCGGCAGATGCTGTCATGACATAAAAAAGAAAAATTTTGTGTCATATGCTCCCTCGTTACTCAAATAGCTATGTATCCCCGCTTGTATTGTGTTTCTCCTAGACAAGTACCAGGAATCCTTGTCCTTGCTCTTTTTCAAGATGTATGAGCAACCGAGCTCAACCGCGGTTAGCTCGCCTAGTCGATTCTCCCGACATGCGATGTACATGGCAATGGCGATCGTGTATGCATTCGGGGTGAGCTGCATTAGTGTGATCCCGAAGTGATCAAGGACTGACCTGGTGAAAGGGTGGAAATGGATCAACCCCCCACCCTTGAAGATATCTTCCGAGATCGCGGCCATCCCTCGTGGCGGATCCCGAATAGAATGCACCTTATCATGGAAAACCTTTACGCTAACAGCGAACTGGTTAACAACCCTTTGCAGCTCGTCAACGGTAAGCGCTGAGTAAATTTCTCGAGGGGGGCCCGCAGGGGCATCCTTTACGGGCGAGCCTGCTCCTTCCTCGGCTCTAGTCGTTGGGGGATCCATTTTGCAATTTGCAAAAGCAACAAACTGGTACCATTCAATCTTCGTACATTTTCATATGATGATGTGGAGGAAAGTTTTTCCTCCCTAGACCCAGAAAAAACCCTAACAGAATACTTAAAGAGCCACCACCAATGGCTCCAACCCAACGGAGAGTATTCCGTCTCCGATGAGCTATCGACGGACAGTCATCGCATGGTGACTGTTGAAAGCAAAAAACATTGAAGGTAAAAGAAAGGACTCATCTTTACCTCTAGGAATGAGAAAGATTGGCTCATGTTCCGAATATTGAGCGAACACCACTCTGAAAGACAAAGAATCATGACTGGCAAAAGTTTCTTGCTCTCTGAGAATGAAAATACTACGACTTTGCCTAAAGAAAGCTTGGGGTCTTTATAGTGAAGGAAATGGCACTTTGGTTCCCTGAAATCAAACAACGTTTGGGCAGAAAATGCATCTGACCGTTGATCGCGACCACGTGTCATGAATCAATGGGAAGAGTGACCGTCACGCCTCAAGAAACTAGATTGTCATCCCTTTCTGTTTAAACGCTCAAGAGATGGCACATTTTCCCTCATCCACATTTAATGCGCCCACACCCGCATTTAGTGCTCTGATAAGGAATGTCGTTTCAAGCATGGCTTGCATTTAATGCACATAGCTGGCACTTATTGCCCATAAGACATGTCTATTAGAGCAAAGGGCATTTCATTTAATACACCCACTGTAAAAGGTGCAACGGATAACATCTGAAGAGATCGTTACCAAAAAATCCTCCCCCGTTAGTTGTGAAGCGACGTGTTTGTTCGACCCCATCTCACATCAATCGCGAAGCGATATGACACCGGCTGCGAAGTAGCGTGACCATTTGTCCTAAAAAATTGCCAAGTGAGAACAGGTCGAGAATTCCCTTAGGTCAGGATCATCACTAGCACTGGGCAACCATGACCAGGTCACTAATCCTGGGGTTGCGAATCATCCTAGGTCGCTTATAAGAATGTCCTCTCGATCTCATTTGCAGTCAGGTTGGACCGACCAGCATCTCTTCAAACGCATCAGATCAATGCATTTATAGTTTCCAAGGTTCGATTCTCAAACCTTAAAAACTAGGGGACTTCTGTTATGTCTAAAAATGTAGGGCTGACGCAAGACTCAGTCAGTATAAAAAGTCAGAGCTTAGGTAGGCCCGCAGGCAGTCAGAAAAATCCACGTCATGTGGTGACATGAGCAGCACACTCCTGTCAGTGAGGTGGATGCGCGTCATACCAGCCAAGAGCTATATTGATCCCATGTGTCCAATCCCTGCACCAAATCGCGTAAATCACTCTAGAAGGTGGGCAATGGGATATAAAGAAGGATTTGCACGGATAATCCCACCAACTCACAGATTTAGTAATGATAACCTTAATCCATCCCATTATAAATTGAGAGCTCTTCTCTCATTTAAGGGATTAGCTACACTCTCTAAAGAAAAGATAGTATTCTCTCACTCTCTCTTGTATAATCATCTGTAAGTCAGTCCGTTGAATGTGACCTAACCTCTATCATTAATAAAAAGTCAGTGGACGTAGGATTTGCTTCCTTAGCATCCGAACCACTTTAAACGCTGTTCTCCATTGCATTTACTCTCATTCTCACCTTCACATGTGTCTTTTGGGCCCGCTCAGCATTTCACACGTGCGTTTGGTTGATGTCAAAATCACGTATCAACAGAATTAATTATATTCAAAAGTTAATACACACTTTGGTGTTCACAACTACTGTGAAACATTTTAATCCAACAAGAAAAACTCCATACACTCAAAGAACAGGTACCTAAAGGCTTCAAGAATTCTGATATTACCAAAATAAATAAAAGAGACTTCCACCAACATCAACAGACTAGAATACAAGTGAATTGAATATTGAACATATTATTTAGTATACCACCCTCTCATGGCTTTTGGAATTGAGGAGCACACTAGAGTGGACACAAATACGAATGAAAAATTCACCATCAGCCATTCATCATTTGTAGTAACAAATAGGGTTATTTAACTAAGCTGATTTCAATCAAAACAATCAATGAGCAAACTCAACAATCAACTTATACAGTCTAATATGTGATCAATTTAGAGATTAAATAAAACAGGAAAGAGCTGAATAGAAATTGACACAGAGGGATTTATAGTGGTTCGGCTAAGGCAGCCTACATCCACTCTTCAAGGCACACTTTAGGGCATTTCATTCATCATAAGAACAATATTACAGAGAGTATTTAAACAAGCAGATACAGGAAAGAACACACCCGATTAAGCCTCACTCTCTCCCTCATTCTCCCACATATTGGTCTGATTTTATATACATACAGACTCCGTTGATCAATCACCAGTTGTACAACAAGATCTGAAAACCGTTGGAGAAGAGATGCACTAGAATCTTCTACCATAATCGAGACCTAAGGTTGAAACAGGACCAGAGAGAGATGAGCTGTGAAGGGAGAGTTTGTTACATTGAAATGAGGATCAAGTGCCACGATAGGGCACTTAAGCTTAACAACCAAAATGACACCGTATAGGCAAAAAATATAACACTGCTTATTTTGACTAATATTGACTCCAACGTGTCAATTGCAAGCCATGTCATCACACATCTTATAGATTAACTTTGATTAAAAGGATTGGAATGTGGATTACAGTCAATAAAACAACACGATTTAATTTATCCCATCAGGTTTTTAGTAAGACCTATCTCCAAAATAACTTCACATATTTGACTTCTTCATTAAAGGATTCATATCAATACAATTACCACTATGATGATGGCACACACCTTTGCATGGAAACTTTGACATTTGACAAGGCTCTCGTCATAAGTTGTACTCCCCGGGAGATGCATTCACTCGACAATCAACGTCTTGTTGGTTCTTGGGTAGAGAATGACGGAAGCAACTTTAAGAATTTGCGATAATTTTCTCCTTTCCCAGTAAATCTATAATTATCAAAGCTATGGATGCATCTAGCTTCAGATTTCTCTGATTCATTTTGTGAAGAAGTTCAACCACTTTTGAAGTCTCATTATTCTGCAAGAAACCAGACATAAGTGTACCAAATATGACTACATCTGGAGCACAACCATTTTGCTCCACATCTGATAACAAATTACTTGCCATTTCTAAGTTCCCTTCTTTACAAAGCCCATCCATCAGAATGTTATATGTCACAACATCTGGAACAAAGCCTTTATTTCGCAATCTATGAAACAATTCCTAAGCCATTTTGAGTCTCCTTGTTTTACACAACCCATCAATGAGACAACTGAAAGTTTTGATGTCAAGTTGAATGTTTCCATTTTTTAAAGTATGAAGCAGTTCAATAGCCTCCAAAACACAACCATTTTTGCAAAATCCATCAATGAGAATATTATACGTAATTAAATCGGGATGATCATTATTGCATTGCATCTCACCAAATAGTTTCCTTGCATGTCCGACATTACCAATCATAAAAAGGCCAGTCAGGAAGGTGCTATAAGTAACAATTGTTGGCCTAACTGCCTTTGAAGTCACTTCTCTATAAAGACTCATAGCTTCATCAACTTTACGATTCTTACTATACCAATTGATTAGAGTACTGTAGGTAACTACATTAGGTATGCATCCCTTATTCAACGTCGAAAAACCGTCCATCAAAATATTGTAGCTAAAAAATCAGGCTTATGCCCCTTACTTGCCATAGAATCAAATAGCTTTCTTGCATCGTCAATTCTACCTTCCAAGCAATAACCATTCAAAATTGTATTATAAGTAATTGTGTTGGGATGAACACCTCTATTAATCATCAGTTGGAGCAATCCATTGGCTTCGTCTATCTTTTCATTCTTACAAATTTCATCCATTACCACATTAAATGTCACTACATTAGGTTGTACACCTTCATCCAACATCTCCATAAACAATGTTTTCGCCTCCTCCCCATTAGATGTATTATACAAACCATAAATTAGAGAGCTGTAAGTAACAACGTCTGGGTTAATGCCCCTAGTCTTCATTTATGAACACAGTTCTTTTGCCTTGTCTATTAAACCATATTTGCAAAGACCATCAATAATACTAGCACAACAAACAAGATTAGGCTTACAAATGACACCAAATTCACCATTCCCATTAACCATTTCTTCAAATAACTGAAGGGCATCAGTGATATTGCCTGTTCGACACAACCCAGTAATCAAAGTCCCAAATGTAATTACGTCAGGCGTACAACCAAAAGAACCCATTTTCCTAAGCAACTCAATCGCCTTCTTAATCTTACCCTCCATACAAAGACCATTAATGAGACAAGTAAAAGTCACAGCATTTGGGTGAAAACCCCTCCTAAAAATACTCCCAAAAATAACAAAACCATCATAAATCCTACCTCTTTTGCATAAGATATTGATGACAATGTTCAAAATAATAAAATCAAACAATAGCCCAGCTGAAATGAACCTCGAGTAAAGTGAAAGGAGTTGATCATAGTGTTGTTTCTTAGTGAGTGTAGTAAAGAAAACACGAAATGATGAGATAGGAGGAGTGGGATGCATATGAATCATGTAATCGAAGAAATAAAGAGCTTCATCAAGAGATAAGTTACCAAATCTGCAGTCCAATGGTGCCAGAATCAAGCCGAATTTTTAGCTTTGTCCAGATCTCCTGTGAGGGTTATTTGAGAGAAATTTGAGATACGAGAGTTATTTTGAGAGAAAATTAATAGTGTTAATTTGAAGGTGAGAATCTGAAATTTATGAAACTATGGGTGGGAACGATAGATTCGCTAAACCTTGGGTGGGAAAATGTCGTTTACGCTTGAAGCTTAAGAAGAAACTGATGGGGCATAAATAACACCACCCACTTTAAATGCTTAATCAAATTGTCATTTTGAGTTTTTGGTGAGTCAAAATTAGCCACAAAATTACGTGCACTTTCCCGAAGTTGGCCTGGTTCATGAATATAATTGAGCTTATATTTAAAAGTGAGGTCCTCAATCAAATCATCACCTTCATTTGCCAAAAAGTAATGTCAGTATTATAATTTAACAAATTTTCTTTTAATAACAGGGCCATGTTCGACCTTTCAATTATCACTGTACATGTAATTATATATTTTACCTTATAATGTGGAATGGAGAAGATTCCAAGACGAGAGTACTAAACAGTAAACACGCTCCTCCCCATTTCAATTTGGGGATTTAATTTGCCCTCCAAACCCATCTAAGTAGGGGTGAGCGTTTTTGGGTATTCTCTATTTTCTGGGGGAACCAGAACCAGAATCGAAACAGAAACCACACAGTACAGGTTCCCAAAAAAAGAAATCGAAACCTGAACCGCACAGTGCAGGTTCTTCAATTCAAGGAACCAGAACCTAAAATATAGGTCCCGGTTCCTTTCCGGGGCACCCTATAAAAAATCAATTACCCCCCCGTTAGTTTAAAAAATGACAGAAATATCTTAAAAGTTTACAAATACACCCCTAACAAATATACTATATGGGTTTAGGGTTTAATTATAATGTAATATTATAATTAATTAAATTNGAAATTTTCAGATTTGGAGAATGGAGGCAGAGAAAGACGAATGTTGATGGAGTAGCGTGACTGCGTGAGGAGTAAAAATTTTTTTTTTGCTTTCATATGTAGGGTAAAACCGGTTTAAAAACAGGTTTGTAATTTTTTCCAAATCGAAAACCGAACCGGTTTTTCGGTTTTTAGAATTTCACAAACCGAAAACCGAACTGGTTTGTAAAAAAACCTAATTTTCGGTTCGGTTTCGGTTCGATTACCGGCTCGGTTAGGTTTTTGGATTATTTATCCCACCCCTAAATCGTATATGATATTTAAGATCATTTGAATATTATTAAGATAAACTATTTAAACTTAAAATTTATACTGACCTTCCGCAATTTCTGTAACTTATATTCATTTTCAAGTTGCATTGCGCATGTATGTTTATTATAAATATATTTTAAAATTATTATTGTTTTTTTTGTCTTTTAAATATACATTTTCTATATTGAAGTTCATTTTATATTGAATTGATAATTCAAAAAATCAATAAATAAAATATCCACAAATTGAACTCAGAGTCTATATCATCATAGTTCTTCTAAAATATGTTACCATTTGAAATCTGTAACCAAAGGTTAAAACTTTGTCAAGAAAAGCAAAAAAATTGCAGGATAACCCATCGGGTATCATTAATAAGTCTACAAATCAATCAGAGAAAGAAAAGTTGAAAAATGTGAACTTTTAAGCAAGAGACTTGCAGAGCCAAAGGAAAAACTAATTTTGATTTTTGAGAAGAGAAAATGAATTATTTTATTATTATTATTTTAGAAATTAAAAAAAAATTAAGAATGTTGAGAAGAGAAATCACATAGAAAGCAACAATAACTCCAACAGTATAATCTGAAGGCAACTTAATTGAAGCATTGAAGAAGCCATTAAGATAAAGGTCTTGTGATACAAATCTATTTGCTGTAATTAGAATTGACCACCACCTATAGCAAAAAAAGCATTTGATGATAACATCCTAAAGAAAGACGATAATTGTAAAACCCACGAAACCCATAAATCAAACAACAAAATCAATCCAAAAATCAATAAAAAGATATAGAACAAATACAATTAAAACTATATATCAGTATTTGTTTTCCTTTGTCATCACTAAAATTGAATTTGTTTTATGTGTGTAATGATAAAATGAATGGTTCGGTAGTAGGTCAATAGTTATCCTAATTCATCATATAATATATCAAATTAAAGCCATATCTTTCTAGTTTTCAAAGATTCAAACCGCTCATCAATTGGATTTTTATTGAGCAAGTTACAGCTAATTTACTATTGACTGTTCAATGGAAATCGAAAAACAAGAGAAACCAAAATGTGTGTGATAATAAAAGGAATGACTCGATAGTGAGGCTACAATCATCCAAATTAAGCATATAATATATCAAATTAAAGTCTTGTCTGTCTAGTTTCTAAAGATTCAAACCTCTCATCAATTGAATTTTTATTGAGTGAGTTATGGCCATCAATTGGATTTTTATTTAGTAATAGCGACAAAAATATTTTTGTCAAAAACATGAAAAGTGTAGTGACAAAAATTTAAGTCATTAAATTTTGAGACCTTATATAATTTTTTTTGTTAATATTAAAATTGACAAAAATATCTTGTCAACAATTTAAAAGAGTAACAAAAGTTATTTTATATCAATTTGATCTGACAATTTTATATATACATTTTACATTTAATAAATAAAATTATAAATAATTACCCTTTTTTTCCCACANTCTGGTGGGATAGGGATACTCGGGAGGGGGCGTGACAGTTGGATTATTGGAAAGTTAGATTACCTTGAAGATTAATGGGAATCTTTAAAAAAATGTTGGGCGATAGTTGCCAGCGGCAGGTGAGTGGGGGTGATGGGCTGGTGGCGTGAGTGGGCTATAATTTGTTTTGAATTCAAGGGTAATTTTATCAAAAAAATTAATTAATTGGGGTGAAATAATAAAAGTCATATTCATATAAATAAATTTAAAAATAAGGACATTATTATCCTAAAAATAACCTTCGGAATCATGATGTAGTAAGGTGACTAGCCTTTTTATCTTCCGTTTGTGTCGATTTGTGTTTGTGTAATTACAACTACACTACTGCGCGCACACACACACACACACACACACACACACACATATATATATATATATATTAAGTGCATTTTCAAAAGATTTTTTATATGATTCAAATTCTTTATTATAAATGTTTATCCATAAAACAAGAGTCTACATACTCTTTAATTTTTAAATATAAATTAAAAAGTGAGTTTGATATTTCACATCTAGAGAGTAAAATTTTATTCTCTATTCTAATTTTAATTAATAAATTACAAGTTTCTTTACATTTTATTTATTAATTTTCTCTTTTATTAAGTATCTTTCTTTAAAAAAAAAAAAAAAAAAAAAACCTTTTTCCTTCCTACAATGGTCTTTAAAATAAAGAGGACCATTTGATTTGAATAAAAAAATTATTTTTTATATTTAGAAATTAATGAAATGTTCTTCATTTATACATAGATGTTCTTTAAAATAAAAAAACACTATTGAATATATTATGATGTGTTTCCTTTTAAAAGTTTTAGTTTTGAACTTTAAATTTTTACTAGTTAATCGTTGTCCCATTTTGAGGGTGTGGTTCAGGAAATGTTGGATTACTGGAAAGTTAGATTACCTTGAAGATTATTGGAAATCTTTAGGAAAATGTATTTGATTAATTGGTGGGTCTATTATATTAATATGTTTGGTTGAGATGAATAAATTGATAGGTATGTTATTTAAATTACTGAATTGTCTTTTAATTAAATATTATTATTATATTTTTTTAATATTTATTATTATTTGGATTACCATAACCCCCCTGTATTTAAAAACTTAGCAAAAACAACCCCATAATAAAAGTTTGGAAAATCAACAAAGCACCCCCACCAACCCAGCCACTACCAGCCGCCGACAACCACTGCAGACAGCCGACAACCGACATCCTAACGGCGCACGGAAGGCAGGAAATGGATCTAACCAGAAATGGCCAGACGTGACAAATCTAGCTATCGACGGCCATAGACGTGGCCGTTAACGGCCATCGATCTAGCCATTTTCGGCCTGATATCTGGTCAGAAATGGCCATATCAGTGCACGATGACCATTTTCGGCCTTCCATGCATCGTTTTGGCTGCGGCGACGGCTGGCCACGGTGGTGGTTGTCGGCGGTAGGTGGGTGGGGGTGGCGGCGGCTTGGGATGAGCTGCAATTTGTTTTGAATTCAAGGGTAATTTTATCCAAAAAGTTAATTAATTGGGATGAAATAGTAAAAGTTATATTCATGTAAATAAATTTAAAAATAAGGGCATTATTGTTCTAAAATTTTATTAATAAAAGATAGAATTGTAACAAAAAAAAAAAAAAAAAGATTGCCCTCGTAATCTTAGAATACCTAAGAAAATTGAGGTAATTAGATTACCACCAATATTACCAACAGTAACTACTATTGGTATTTGAAGATTACCGGAATTTTATATTAATTGACAACCAAACGTGATAATAAAGTAATATAAGATGACATAACTCCAGTAATCCCATATTACCCTCAACCAAACGCCCCCTTGATACATTAATTGATAGATAGATTTCTCAGTATTAATTCTGATTAATTATGTACTTTCTTTTAGAGGTTGTTCACAGGGCTGCAAATAAAGGTGCAGCTGAGCCGAGTCGGCGAGAGAAGCTTGAGACTTGAGAGGTTTGGGTGCCGATTCAAGCACAGCTTGAGCCACCTATTACTCGGCTCGAGAGGCTCGTGAGCCTCCACAAGCTCCAAAGGGTATAGGTGCAATTTTTTCAAGTATGAGGGGTATAATTTTTACCATTTCGCATATAGATTTGTTTTTTTATTTTCGAAAACCTTTAACTTCTTCTTCATCCAACACTTCTCCTTCTCTTTTCTTCTTCTCTTTCCTTCTCCTTCCCTTTAGCTCTTCTGCCTTGGATTTGTCTTCTCCAATGCCTCTAGCTAACTCATCACAAACCTGCTCCAATGTTTCTTTCACCTTCTTCTCAATCTCCAGTTCTTTTGTTGTTGTTGACAATGATGATTTCGTCCCCGCCAATTCTTTTCCAAGCTTCTTGTTTAATCTCTCTGTTTGTCGCCTAAGCTTCTTCTCCACCCCAAGCTCTTCTGCTATGCATGTTATGGCATGGCGAATCCTGTCTGGTGAGCTTGCAAGCTGTGGCGAGTGAGCTCGCGTAATTAAACCAAATTAGTGAGCCCCACTAACAATAATTTCTTCTTCTTTTCTTTTTTTCTTCTTTTATTTTTTGGTAAAATCTAAATCCTGCATTCGTGTTCATAGTCTATTTCCCCTTCAGTTTTGTTCATAGTCAACTTCTCTTCCAATTTCTTACACACAATATTTTTATTCCATTCAACTTCAACTTCTATGATTATTAGAAACATAATAGAGGTAAACTGAATTTTTTAAAATAACCCTAAGACCAGGACAGTGGATGGGAGTATCCATTGTTGTTTTATTATATTATTTGATTCTGTTTGTTTTAATATTTTTCCATATCTTATTCTTACTATTTTCAAAAGACACGTTTGTTTCCTTGTTCTGAAAATATTATTATATTTTATTCAACTATCTTTAAACCTCTAAATTTATTAATTTAACTAAATATCTAAAAAAAATTTAGAAATTGACAAAAACACCTCCACTCACTCACATTTGTCATATTCTAATTACCATCGTCGAAAGGTGGCCGAAATTTGGTATAATGGCGCACTACTGGCTGGATCTGGCCAATAATGTATCGATATAACCTTTTCCGGCCAGATCCACCGTGGATCTGACTGAAAAAAGCCAGATCTACGACCAATGATAGTCGTCAATGATGGCTAAGATATGACCGTTGTTGACAACTAAACGTAGCCAGATCTGGCCATCAATGACTAGATCTAGCCGTAAATCTGACTTTTTTCGACCAGATCCACGGTGGATCTGGCCGTTAATGACTAGATTTAGTTGCACATCTAACCTTTTTCGGCCAGATTCACAGTGGATCTGGTTGGAAAAGACCACTTCAGTATACGATCGACTAGATCCAGTCAGTCGTATATCGATACAATGACTCTGATCATCCTCCAATGGCGGTGGATGATTGCTGGTATTCAATGGGTGATGGGGGTGTTTTTTAAAATTTTAATATTTTTATTGCAGAGCTATTTAATAAATTCATAAACCTAAAGGTGTTTTTATTGATTTTCATAAATCATAACCACCTTGTTATTTCCTCATGGGCATTATTGGTGGGTTTATTTTAAAAACTAACCAAACGAGCCATATATATTTTTTATATTTAGTTATTATACTTTTCTAGTTAACAATGTGTTATGTAATATTATTGACCATAGTTATTTTTTATATTATTATATTAACAATAATGCACAAACACTGAAAGTTTACACCAAATTTTTGCATTGACCGACGTGTCATCTGAGTTAGACGCAACCACATAGCACACTAACAACTATTCCGCAAATGAACGACCGCCCATCAAATATGGCCGAGCTATAATACCCAGATGTCAAAGATATGTTCCTAACTCAAAATAGTTTTTAGATGTTATTTTATTTTAAAAAGCATAAATAACTAAAGGCAAAATAGTCGATTCATTTGGAACGGTATGAATCAATTATCCATAGAAAGACATTAGGGGCAAAATAGTCATTTTGCCTATGGATAAGCATTGAGAGACAAGGATGAGTAGGCTTATTTCATTTAATGACATTAATTAAGTAATAATTATTGTCTAGTGCAAAATGACCAAAATGCCCTTATGTGAAGATTAAGGACTTATGAGTTATACAATTAAATAATTGGGCCATATTAATTTTTGAAAAATAATGAAATATTTTCCTATAATGAGTAGAATTCGTTCAAGCCAAGGCAGAGAGCATTTTTTTCAACATTTCTTTCATTTCTCTCAAATCTTCGATGAAACAAGCTTTCTTTCTCTAAGTTTTAAAGGAGTTTGCATAATTTTTCAAGGAGAACAAGATAGGAGCCTTGGATCTCAATTTGAAGGGTTTAAGTTAAGGATTAAACCTTAGTTTTGATGTGATTTGAAGATTTGAAGTAGATATTGAGTTATAATGTTATATATTGAATTAAGGTGCAAAAGAAGACAAAGCAAAGGATTGTTGGAGGAATTCTTTAAAAAGGAAGGAAGAACCTCCCGACTTTAGGGATTATGCTAGGGTTCGTAATTTTTATGAAACCTAAATTAAGGTTTTAAGGCATAGAATTAGTTGATGGCAAGTGTAGTTAACTATATTTATTCTACTTATTGCCTTGAATTCTTATACATGAAGTTATTGCTATTTATGTTTTATGAGTTGTTATGTTTGATTGAGAAAATGAAGTGTGGATGCTGATTGTGGTAAAACTTGTAGTATGGAGGTCATATGTGTGGAATGGTTACTATTAGAAGTGTTGAGTGTGTGTTGCATAGCTTTAATGTTATAACAATAATGGATGATTATGGAAATGAGATTTACACTTCCTTTAAGATGTTAAAGACTATTAAGGGGAGGATTATTTGATCCAAAATGACCTATTGGTTAATTGTCAATAGGAATTGATGTGGCATAGTTAATATGAAAAATCGGATTTATAAGTAGGTGTTTGTTAAACATGCTTCAGTATTTCACCATAACTTGAGTTATAAAATCGAAATGAGATCATTCTTAAAGCTTTAGAAAGTTAAGACACAGCCCTATAGTTTTATGTTTATGCCAAGAGCCATTCGTTTGAGAAATTGCCTAAAGTATATGCTGGTTATTAAGTTTAAGATTAACATAATCAATTCTTATGATTATGAATTGATTATTATGTTATTGTAATTATGTCATATACTAATGTTTACCCATTAGTTAGATGATCTTTGACAGATATACATGGTCATGATGTCAATGCATATTAATGTTTTGAAATGGCATGAAGATGCATGTAATACATGTTTTAAGATGATGTATGTGAGCAAGAGGTAATGTAATGGATTGATAATCCATAATGAATTAAAAGTATTAAGCTCACCAATATGTATTTACATGCCATAAATTGTTAGAGATGCATATAGACATGATAGAGATCATATAACATGATGGGAACGCTAAGCATATCCTTGTATACCGATTGAGGATAGATGAATATATGCTTTAGATGTTATAACGTCTAAGCCGCCTCTTATGAATGAGCTCTAGATGATATGAAGTGCTTAAGACCTAAGAAAAGTCTGATCGGCTACCGTTAAATGCTTCATATGCATTTAGTTGCACTATATGAGTTAGTATATTATTTACTCTGAGATGATTTATACTCATGTTAGATGATTTAGATGTTATGTCATGACATGTATGTGTGTGTACTAGTTTACATACTTATTTGTATGTGTATGCATTAATGTTACATGGCCATGGGATAAAATATAAAAGACATATGAAATAGAAAGGAAAAAAAGGAAAGTACTCTAGATGTAAAGATAAGTGGTGTGTTAACAAATATGTTTAAATGAGGGTCAATAGCACATTTAGAATGCAATGCGATTAGCGCTCACCCTTTCATTGTTGATTGCTTTGCAGTAGACCAGAAGCGAAGGATGCTAGAGACAGCGGGCTCACATGAGAGAGATGATTTTTGTCATCTTGATGTTTTTATCTTATGTAATAATGTAAATGATAAATGTTTGTGAACCACCTTTGGAAGCTTCCACCCTATAAATATGTTTTGTTGTGTAATTTCCAGATAAATTCTTAAAGTTTCTGAATTATAAGTTTGGATCCTGCGTGACATTTATATGCATGTTTTGATAAATTATTATAATCCTTACACAGTTTTTTTCTATACAACTTGTTCTCCACCAGGTATCTCGAGATTTTCATTGAGGGAATTCAGAGGATACCTGACTGGAGGGGGGTTTTTACATGAGCTTTCATGATTATTGGGCCGTTCATTTTAAATGAACTTCCATCCATATGAAATAACAATAGACTCTCGTCCTATTAAATGGACAAGAGTCCATTTACATGGACGTCCGTCCATAATATGTATAGATTCTATTTTATGATAGGTGTCCACCTATATGACGCTTATCTATAGTTTAAAATATAAATTTTATAAAACAAAAATCAGGGATGCCCATCCATATATTATGGACGACACCATATTCAATGGATAAGACTTTTGGAAAAAGATTTAGATACAGTCAAAGCTACTGAGAATTTTTGGTGAATGTTTTTCTTAATCTATGGTCCATATGTAATTTTACCTGATATTATTTTTATTCATAAAAAGGCCAATGGAAAGCTAGCGGCTGCAGAAGAAGCTATTGCACTCTCATTATGGAAAACCGCAACCATTTGTCGAGTATTCTCAATTGAAGTGTAAAGACCTATCTAATCACAATTATTTTGGCTTTAGTTGCTCTTTTTCTTTATATTTTGAGACTGATGTTTTGCATCTTTATTAAGAAATGGGAAACGTTTTTCATATTGAAAATTGAATATGGATCCCGTCTATAATATATGATAGGTGTCTATGATTTTTATTATTAAAATTATATTTTAAAATATGGATGGATTCTAAGGAATGTCCGTCCATAGTAAATGGACTCTCGTCCATATAATATGGACAAGAGTCCATTAAATTTTCGTATGGTCTTGTCCTATTATATGGACGAGAGTCCATTTAAATTGAACTCATCCAATAATCTTGGATGTTCGTCTATATTTGGTGAGACCGTTTATTCGCGGAATAGTTGTTAGCATGTTTGGGCTGTTTGACTTAGGTACATTGTCGATCGATGTAAAAATTCGGTGTAGTTGTCTAGCGTTATTGTAGTATTAAGAATGGTTTGATGATTTTAGTTTAGAATTTTAGATATTTATTATATAATTATTTGATTAGATTTAAATATTACCATGTGTGAGTATATGGGAAGGATTTGTACGTACAATTTGAGGGTGGGGCAAGGCTAGGAAGGGGTCTATTCCCACAAGGCAGGGACAGGGTTCGTCATCACCCTGTAGTGGGGACAGGTAAAAATTCATCTAACGTGTGGGGACAGGTAAAATTCTCTAACGGTGATGGGACAGAGAATTCGAAATCCACCCAGCCCCGTTGCCCTCCCTGAACCCACCACAACCCTAAATTAAATCCCCACATCCTCAGCACGAATAGCCAGCCTACAGGTACCCGAAAGTGGGACCTTTTGTCATCCTTAGCAAATCTATATAAACACTATTTTAAAATCCGAACGGAGGGCAACCCGTTCTGTTCCGGGTCACAAGTCACCGTTCCAACCGATTGGACCAGTGACATATCATGCTAATTTAGCACTGCAAAAAAAAAAAACCTGTTCTTTTTTAATTTTAAGATTTTCATTTTTTTAATAATAATAACAACTTAATTACTGTCTAACATGATTCAAAGTTCAAATTCAATAACAATCCCAATATAATTTAAGTATTAACAACAATCCAAAGTCCAAATCTAAACATGATGTTGTGTTTATCCATTACATATTAAATGACAAAATACATAACATTAATAACAAAACTTTGGTGCAAGTGTTTTTTCTTTGATCCGTCTCCATGCTGATTAGCTTCACACACTAGCATCAAATTTCATCATCATCATCACCATCATAACCATCACCATCATCTATATAATTTCAGTAAAAAATAGAAATAATAAGTTAAAACTTGTAATTTATTTAAAAAGATACTAAGTTGCTTAAATATTGAAACCAACCTTTTAAACCATCGGTTAAATCATAAAAAGACCCGAGCCATGTTGACAGTGTCTGTTTTTAATCTTTATCTACCTGTCACACAAGAAATAACAACAATTTAGTATATATTGACATATTAAAACAGCAGCATATTATGGACGCATTCAAGGATTGAACTAATTAATGCAAATTGCATTGAAAGAAGGACAAACATGATAAAAGCTACAAGGTCATAAATTATGCCAAATAAAAGACTGTAAAATTATCACAAACATTCTAAAAAATTTCTTAATATTGACTTTTAATCTCAGTTTAATTGAGCTTTAAGGAATTTCAAAATTATTCTATGATTTATTCTGTTATTAATTTTAATAATGAATCATTAATTTAACATGTGTTTGAGTAAAATCTACCATGAGTAATATGGTCTTTAACTTGTGATTGATTTAAAAAATAAAATAAAAGTTTAGCCTTTAGCATTTGACAATATGATGTGTTTTACATTCATATAGGTTGTTGTGTTCAAAAAATCGATTCTGGTTAAAGAGATTGAACCAGGTTGTCATCGTCAATGGAGCAATCGGATCTATCAAGTGAATGAAATTGTTTAGAATTGCCATCTGTAAGCTCTTCCAATTGTTTAAGATAATGTATTCCTCAATGGTGAGTAACAGCATGGCATCATTGTTTTAAACCCGAACTGGAGGGCAATCCCTTTCATTGCCCAGGTCACGGTGAACCGGTCTAATCGATGGGACCGTCGGTTAAACCGATGATGTCAGCGACAATTTATTTTTTAAAAAATTACATATTAATCCTTAACTTATATACTACAAAAATTTTCCCAAAAAGTTTAATTAGTCCCTCAAATTTTTATTTTTCAAAATACCCAAAAAAATTACCATTAAATCCCTAAACTTGTGACATATCTTCAAAACATGCCTAAATTATATAACCCTTATAATTTTGAAATATTGCAAAAATCCCCCTAAGACTTGAACCGGACCAGAGAAGTTGCCGTCTCGGTCCAACCGGCCGTTCGGTCCGTTTTTTAAAACAAGATTGGCATCAGTCAAATGCCTATTCTCATCCGCATATTAATTCAAGATAGGCATGCTAGTGAAACAATCTAGATAAGCTATAAATTATTTCCTAACCATCATCATATAACAAAAACTTAGATACATCAACAGATCTACAAAATTGGAAAGGGTCGTGACTCATGAAAACTTACACTTTCTGAAATGGAGCTGTGTTGTTGTCGATTTCTAGCGAGGAATTGAGTTGTCATCGTCTTGTCATCGATTTCCAGTAGGAATAAAGCTTCATCGTCGTTTCTGATAGGGAGGAACGCCTTCGTCGATTTCAGAGAGTAGATTGCGATTGACACAAGGTTGTGATTTCAAACTCAGAGAGTGGAGTTCATTGAATTGAGTGGCATTTGAGTGGATAGCTTAGATTTCAGATTTTGAGAGATTTGCATAGAGTAACTGAGAAAGTGAGAAACTGGAAAGAGTTAGGGATTTTTTCTCCTTTTGAAACATTGGTAAGGTCTGTTGGACCGGCGATTCGCACTGTTTCCTCCGATTCAATGGCGTTCATAGCGGGTTATTGAATATGACCGGTTTTATATTGACTCGAACCAGACATGTACTGGGTCCCAGTCAACCGTTGGATCGCGGTTCCGGTCCGTTTTTAAAACCATGCATATAAATATAAAACACAAAGGTATATAAATTTTCAGTTTCCAAACAAAACCCACTTCCTCCTGTACCTTCCCACCAACAAACTAAAGTTTAAAGAAAGATCAAATTTTTCATGCTTGGGGAATATCTTTAATGAGATAGCATTGAGATTTCACACTATTAAGGATGGCTTTGTCTACAAAATTTAGTTCTATAATTAAACTTTGTAGCCATATATCTCTACACTTACATGAGTTAGGCTTTGATACTCAGTTTGAGTTGACGATCTTAAAATGTTATTGGTTGCTTTTCAAACTCCAAAATCTCAAGTTTCCTCTCAAATATACACATATCCAAAGTTGGCCTTTTATCATCAAGGTCAATTGCCTACTTAGCATCTGCCTAAAAGCCCATGATCATATCGGTTAGATATCTAAATATTCTTTTAATTGCCTTCCAATTTATATCAATGGTTTTGCATTAATAGGCAAACTTTATTGATACAATGAGATATATCTAAGTCCTGTTATAATAACATAATCAACATCTTATATCAGAAAAGCTTTTTTCAATAGCAACCTACACAGATGCCAGTTTCAAGCGAAAGCAGATTGAAATCAATTGATCGTAGAGGCGTTTTGATAGGGTTCACAGGAATATGGCCAGAGAATAAATACAGGGACGAACAGGAGGAGTCAGAGGATTTTTTGGACACCATTGATGCTGGCGCTTATATTTTTCAGCAATCCGTTGGAGAGTCCGATGGGTGTGATGAGAAGAGAATTCTGTATGATTTGAATGGTGAAAGTAGGTAGCTGAAGGCTTATTTTTGTGTGAGAATCCGATGATCACACTATTCAATGCACTGCCTATTACATTTCCACGAAGATTGCATAGTTATTTGCATTTCCATGGGCACAGAAATGCTCTTTAAAATCATTCAACTCTTTACATTGATGTTAAGTTACACATAAGAAACAAAATCCGACTCTGTATCTTCACTTTTTCATTTCATAATCCCTTTTATCCGAAGCCTTCTATCTCCACCGTGGATGGAATAACGGCAAACAAAACAGTATCGTGTAGGAATTCCATGCACTGTCCCAAAATGAAGATAGGAACAACAGGCTTGTATCATCGATTTACTCATTTGACAGTTGTTTAACGGCTTTCTCAGCAGCATCCGATCTTCTGCTGTTATTAGTGTATAAAACTTTCCTGCAGAACCATTAGGGAAAATAAGCTTTCATAACAGAACCTTTAGTTCATGAAGTGTTTATCAGATCAAAATTCTCATTCAAAGAGGTTTCATATCAGCTCAAATTCCACATTTACCTCAATATCTCTTTGCCTGGTCAACATTGGTGCCTTCAAGTGAACTCCCACTGGTATTTTTTGGGCGATCTGTGTACAAGACCAACAAAAATAATGCTATTATTGTAACTCCTGGAGACAATTGAAATATTCAACGCTGGACATCACCAACAATTTTCTGTTGTTCTTTCCATTTTCACATTAGTGGAGAAATAGGCCATCCTTCCACTTATTCCAAGTTAGCATTCATAGAAAAAGTTTGGAATAAAAAGGTGAAAATTGTAAGCATTATTCTAGAAGATGAGTAAAGACTGAGAATACAAATTCAGTGCTGAAAAGGGGAGATAGTTTAAAGGGTTAGAACCTAAAAAGTCCAGTACAATTTCATGCATTTAAAATGGTACAATTGGTTTCTAAAATCCAAAATAATTTAATGCACTGCTCACCTGTTTAGCAGTATTGACAATTCCGCTCACAATTACATCACCCTTCATTATTCCTCCAAATATGTTTACCAAAATTGCTTAGATTTTCTCCATGGAAGTTAATAACAAGCCTCAGTACCTGTTCCACATATTTGTGAATAAAAATGAAACCCAGATGACAAAAAAAATAAAATAAAAACACATTACTAGTGGATGGTCAGACAAGCCTGCTTGTTCAAAATCATTGACAAAGCGGAATAGTAACACAATACAAGCAGTCAAAACAGAGTATTGAATCATTACCTGCCGCGTCAAGAGAATTGTACCATTGCTAATCCAGCACTATTCACCATACAATTAAGTTTATGCTCACTTCCATTAATGCGCCCTCACAAAAGAGTTAACAATTTCTTTCACTAGTTCAATAGCATCATTTCTATCAGCAGCCTTGGGTGCTACACGTGCTACACCATCTACAGCTTTAGCATTATCTTCATCAGTGGTTCTTCTGAAGACATCAATAGGCACCTATCAGAAACAAGATGTGTCAGCTACATAACAATATAGTACCTCAGGGTTATGCTAAGTCACTAAAGATGAAGACACACCCAAGAGAAGATGAAACTGATATCATTACTCTAACCTAATATCATATCAGAATTAATTACATTCAGAAGTTAATACACTACTTTGGTGTTCACGGCTACTGTGAAACATGTTAATCCAACAAGAAAAACTACATACACTCACAGAAAAGTACCTAAATGCTTCAAGAATTCTGATATTATCAAAAAATAAAAGAGACTGCCACCAGCATCAACAGACAAGCATACTGGTGAAATGAATACTGAACATATTATTAATATACCACCCCTCTCATGGTTTATGGGATTGAGAGAACACAGTGGATACAAAAACGAAGAAAATTCACCATCGGCCATTCTCTGCAAATTTACTCTGATTAAAAGGATTGATATGTGGATTGCAGTCGATAAAACAGCACGATTTATTTATCCCATCAGGTTTTTAGTAAGACCTATCTCTAAATAACTTCACATATTGGACTTCTTCATTAAGATTCATATAATTACAATTACCAATATGATGATGACACACACCTTTACATGGAACACTTGAAACTGACAAGGCTCCGTCATAAGTTGTACCCCCTGGAAATACATTTACTGACAATCAACATCCGTTGTTCTTGGATAGAGAATGACGGAGCAAATTTAAGAATTCCTGATAATCTCATACTTTCCCAGTTGATCTACAATTATTGAAGCTATGGATGCATCTGGCTTCAGATTTCTCTCATTCATTTTGTGAAGAAGTTCAACCACTTTTGAATTCTCTATTCTGCAAGAAACCAGACATAAGCGTACCAAATATGACTACATTTGGAGCACAACCATTTGCTCCTATTTGACAACAAATTACTTGCCATTTCTATGTTCCCCTCTTTACAAAGCCCATCATCGAATGTTATATGTCCAACATCTGGACAAGCCTTTATTTCGCAATCTGTGAAACAGTTCCCACAATTTTGAGTCTCCCTGTTTTACACAACCATCAATGACAGTTAAAGTTGTGATGTTAGTTGAATGTTTCCATTTTTTAAAGTATCAACAGTTCAACACGCCTCCAAACACCAACCATTTTTGCAAAATCCATCAATGAGAATATTATACGTAATTAAATCGGGATGAACATTACTGCGTCGCATCTCCCAAATAGTTTCCTTGCTGTCTGACGTTACCAATCAAAAAAGGCCAGTCAGCAAGGTGATAAGTAACAACTGTTGGCCAAACTGCCTTTGAAGTCATTTCCCTATAAAGACTCATAGCTTCACAATCTTTTTTATTCTTGCAATACCAATTGATCAAGTATTGTAGCAACTACTCACATCATCACCCTTATTCAACATCAAAGCAACACACTCTTTAGCATCATCATTTTATTTTGCCAAGCAAAAACCATCCATCAAAATATTGTAGCTAAAAAAGCCACTCAAAAGGGGCAGTAAAGAATTAAAAGCAACGCACAAAACCGTGTCACGCTGGGGGGGGGATACTTGCCGATAGAACGGGAAAGAGTGAGCTTGTCTTGTCATAATGCAGATTCTGACCTTCGCAGCAATCAAAACCAACAAAGAAGGAGCACTGAACGATGTAGTGTGGAAGGGCAGACGTGGAAGATGGAAGTGTGAGAAGCCAAATAGGGCGCAATAATTGTGTGTTATAAGATGCATATGTTCTTTTCTGGCAAATCGTAAGATGACATTCCTCGTAGTGATCATCAGCCAGATAATAGTGAGCTCTCATAACACAATTTCGTTGAGTATTGGCGGGGAGGAGAATTTCGATGACCGATGTCCATGATAAGCTATCCATTCTTCGAGTGCAAACGAGACGGAAGAATGTCGAATGCCCCACTATCGCACATATCGAAATGTCCTGTCTATCGAGTATGTATGATGAGAAATCCGTTTTGGATCTGCGTCAGACATACTACATATGCATCGACCTAAAGCTCAAGATGTTTTGTCGGCCGCCTCACATGCCACTGTTGTAGTGTATTTACACAAAAACCATAAATTAGAGAGCTTTAGTACCCCGTCTTCAGGTGAGTGCTAGAGCCTGAGGTAGTCCACAGTTTTCAGTTTCTGCAAAACGAGTCCGTAGGGGGCACACAGTGTCCATAGGAAGGCCACATATATGTATAGGGGTCAAAAAGACCAGCAAGAATACGACATAGAAGCGCGAGATCAAGATTAAGGTCATGTACCAAATGATACTGACACCTAAATTTGCATCCATGCCCATATGATGCCACATGTTTGCGTCAAATAGACCGAAGGCAGCATCATGATAGGGGCCAGGAGTGCTGTGAACCAAACACACAAGTCAGATCAAAGTCCCAAATCGTACGTAGTGTGTCCTGTGGGGATGCGAGAACGAGAGACGGTGTCCAACCCACGAAGACAACGACCCATTGTTGCCTAAGCAACTCAAGTCGCCGTTACTGGAAAGTCTGCACGCTCCAGTATGACAAAGAACGCATGGACATAGGAGCAAGGCAATCACAGCATCTGGGGTAAAACCCCTCCTAAAATACTCCACAAGGATACAATCAAAACAGACCCTCCTAAACCTGCTACACGAGTGCGCCATCTTTGGGGTGACTCTGGCTCGAGCTGATATTAATGTGCACAAAAGGTTGGCAATAGCTGCGACGCAGGCTTCAAAGAGACAACCTAGGCGGTGAAACGAACCTTCGAGTCACAAACCAAAAGAGTTGATTCATTAGATAGATTTTATAATCTTAGACGAGTGCACTGTAAACACATACACCGGATGATGAAACGCGGAGTATTCGTATCGGACGAATCGCACTGGCAGGCGTAAGGTCATCTCATGAGGATGTGCCTAGGGGGAAACAGGGATAAATAAAAGCACTTCATGTCTACTGGGGAGACAATATTTCAGCCGGATCTCAGCGTTTACATGGAGCGAATAAATGTATGGCGTTTGAGCAAGTTGAGGAGGGTTTGTGGACACACAGTAGAGGTGTGTTTGGAGTGATTTTGTAGAGTTCAGGAATTTTGGGGAAAGCGGAAAGCTCTTAAAATTAAGACTGAAAATCGTCAACGGTTTGAAAAGCTGAGGGAATGTATGGTGGTGTGAGAGGACACAAGTGAAGTTTGTAAGATCCAAACAATATTCGACGGGAATTTGTGATGTTAGTTGATTAGGAAAAAATCAGCAAATCCTGTGGGTGCTACGGGATTTGTGGTCACCCGTTTTGTGAATCCATTAATAATAGTTTTCCATTATTGAACGTATAGATAATTTACAGCGTGGAACTAGGGCTTCGAGAATCGGAAAGTGCAAAGTCACATGAGGAAAATTGGTTAAACTTATGGGGTTACTAAAAAATCTTTCATGTAGAGAATATATAAAAAATAACGTAAGGAAGGGAGAGATGTGTGAACAACAAAAAAAGATAAAATACAGTGATGATCATTGGAACAATAGTTTTTGGTAATACAATATCATATGATCTTATTCTTGAATTAGCCTCCTTACGTTTATTTCGTTAATCATCTCACATACCCGAGAAAGAAAAAATTTAAATATAACAATTACAAACAGTCGGCCCAGGAAACTACGCGGCAGGGCGCGTGAAGCGGTGCAAATATTACCAACGCGAAGCCTCGGTAAATAAAGATGCGGTTTCGGTGATCATGTGTACTGACATAACGGAATGCACAGTAATTGTAAAAAGGAATTAGGTCGGGCGGGGGGATTAAGGGTTGTGCACCGTGATGCTAAAGGAGAACCTTGTGGATTGCTGGGTCAACATAATTACCGGTGCGGCTGACGAGATGGGGCGGCCAAGTGGAAGGAAATGTATGAGTTGGTTAGCGGGCCATAAAGGGGGCAACTGATGGTCAGGAATAGGGTTTTAGGGGTTTAGAAAGCGATCTAAACGGGAATCAATAGTAACATATGAGATAGTACTGTAAGTGGATGTTGTTAGGGTGGGATATCCGGACTGCCAGTGTTCTGACTAATATTAAATACAGCTGAGTTGTGGGCGCAGCCCTATGCCAGTTATCTCATTTCCTTTTTTTACTTATTTTATTGAGGGACAAAAAAACTTAGAAGAATACTTATTCTGTACTTCGAAATAAAATTTTCCACATAGGAAAACTTACGTTAATGTGTGTGTAAACAGTGTAATACCTCAACAACTATTACGTAAATTAGGGGCGTGGACCCTCGGGGGGGTATATATTGCATAGATACAGGGGTTGGTCACTAAGTCAACAAACGACTGGACTGTTTACTTGAACGTTGGAAATAAAGTGCCCTCCGGGGAAACGATGATAAAGTACAGAAACAAGACAAAGATGAGGGGAAGATGGTTGCTTGCATGTGCACTAAGACTGTGAAACAATCACGCATAACCTTGGTTCAGTGCGTCATAGTTATAGGAAAGATTAGTGGGGGCCAAAGTTTATCACTCATTATTATCATAATGGCAAATTTGTACCGGTAAAAAAG